CCCCCCCCCCCCCCCCCATAGAATCCCTAACGACTTAACACCCAAAGTCCTCGGGAAGATTTAGTTTGCGGCATGACGGTCCCCTATAAAGCGATGCAGGGTTGTATCATTGACATTTGGGTCTTCAAGATTTGAGGATAGCGTGTCTTAGGGACTCAGCAAGCTTACAGTTTTTTACCGCTTCGGTACAACATCAGGGTGTGCGATTCCTGGAGTCCGAGAGTTTCTGCCGGACAAGTTCAGGGTTCAGCTGCGCATGGGGTTTCTGTGGCCGAAACTGCGAGTCTCCTGTTTTCCATTTCCCGTTTCTACCAAGGAGCCATGCATGGTGGTCCATGCTTATGCTGCCGAGAATCCGACACTGCAAATCCTAACACCACAAACCCCCAACCTCAACATGTCCCGAGCGCTATGAACCAGTCCTTGCCGGATAGACCTTCAATCCCCGAACCCTAACCAACAAGCACAAAACCCCAAGCCCAATACCCTTGAGGCTGTTTCCAGCGTCTCTGGTCTTGTGTGCAGCCCTGTGAGCCTGGCCACGCGGTGGTTGCCTTCGCCCTGGAAGGGTTACCTTTGTTGTATCAGTGTCTACATAAGATACAACTGGCTTGGGCTTTGCTGAGGTATTTGAAGCCGATCGATTTCATATTCGGGAGCCTAGACGGCTTAGTACAGGGTGATTTAGATGCTTGGAAGACTTTCGACAAAAGCTACTCTGCGTGATCGACATCAGGTTTGCAACGGCTCAGGCATGGACGGGATGTGGGGAGAAATTTTGCAGCAGAGCTCGTGCAGTTTACACAGCAGCATGAATGCATGGAACTTAGCACAACATCCACTTTACTTCGTAGGGAACCGCGATTCTGTTGACGAAACCTGCGAGAAGCAAGAGCGCAGCTGCAGTTTCCATTAAATCATTGCTGGGACATGCTGAGAACTCCTAGTGCCGCAATTGTTGCCGGTGCCAGTATCGCAGGCATGCAGTAGGACGTGGTAGTGCCTGGTAGTGTCAGTTTACAGGGTGGGGCTGTTGCAGTTTCTGTTTCGTTTGTCGAAGGAAAGTGCCCGCCGGTCCTGGTCACATTCTGCTTTGTGTTTCTTCATGGGATCGGCATCACAACTATGTGGCTACATAAGTATTTAATTTGTACTTGTAGCCGCTGTAGATATGGTAATGATAGCTGCCGTCTTGCTTATAAGCACCCATGACTCATGAGACAGCTTACGTAGGACGAGGCTGGAATTCAGTGAATCAGGACCCTTGCAAACGAGTCTGCTTTTGCGAGAAGTACTTGAAGAAGCCGATAGGGGGTGCAACGGTGAGTTGGGTGTTTCCATTTCAGCTCGTTTCCAAGGGCCGTTTTGGGGAGTCTAGATGATCGCTAATTTGGGTTTATTCTCCGCGGACCAAGTGGACGCTGCTCTGGATGCATCGATTCTGCACAGATTTGCAAGTTTAAGAAGTTTCGGCCTACCGTAGACCTCAACATAGTAGGATCCGTGCTTGGGAGCTCCGGTATGCGAAAGCCCTCTTAACCCATCCTAAACCCAGCTAAACATACTGTAATTAGTTTTTGGTTTTATGCGGCCCTTAGGTTGCACTCCTTCTGCTTGAGATGACCCGACGCTAAGGCCTTTGTCAATCCTGCGCGGAGGGGAGGCGGCTGCTGCTGAGCAGTCATGAGCCCTTTGGCTCGAAGATCTGCAGTGCGCGGATGAAGCTTAAGGCTGCAGAACAATTAAGTTTAGTCGTTATATGTTATTAGGAGTTAGGGCCATGTAGGCTAGATGATTAAACGTTTATGGCGTAAGCCTGAGCGGCTTCAACTAGCTTCCTTCATACCTAGACCTAGACTTCTTTTCAGACGCAAGAGGCATTTAAACCCAAGCTCTCACAGGCCTGGGGTTTCCGGAATGATGTCCTTCTAACTCAATGGCATGTTCCTGAGGTCCTGACGTTCACGATGTAGACTTTGTCTGGGCTTCGTTTGGATACTGGACAGTGTTTTGCTCTGTGTGTTGTTTTCCTAGTGGGTTCCGTTTTTTGCCGGGATCGCGGAGCTTACAGCCGGAAGTATGATCAAACTCAAAGCCCCAAGCCCTTGCGACGCATGGTTCAGGGTTTTGTTCTATTCTATGCGTCTGTCGATTGCAGAGCATTTGCGGGGGTGTTTTGTTTTGTCCGCTGGAGGCTTTTATCTTGGACCGCTGAGTGATATCTGGGACCCGAAAGCTTCACGCCAGTGCAGCTCTTCCAATGCCGAAGCTGCCTCCCGCTTAGCAATGGGCACTTTGATGCCTTGATGCTGCCTCCTTTAAGTGTCCAATTAGCCCTGAATCCTTCCACCCTAAACTCTATATGCCGAAAACATCGACCTTGAACCCTTGATATACAGTCCCGGGCTTGAGACACACGACGTCTGTGTCCGTGACGTGACCTTGCGAGTCCCCCCCAATTGCAAAAGCAGAACCTTAATCTCGCGCCTGCATGTCTTCTATGTACAGCTGTTGCTGCTGTCAGTCCGCAGCACTTATGTAAGATGTTCTTCTGCTGGAAGCTCTGACTGGCCAGCCAAGGGAAAAATCTAGATACTCAGCTATGAGGGAGCCCTAGGTGAAACCAGCGGCGTTCGGGATTCTGGACAACGTACCCGAATTAAATGATAGTGTGCCGATTAGAAGGACCCTAAACCTTAGAAGCCCTATCCTAATCCTAAATTACTAAACGCGAAACCTACGTCTCGACATGTTTTCCTGCGAAGTCCACCCAACCGGCGGCGCTCCAGGGATCTCTACTTTGGGGCGTTCGGGCCCAAAGGCTTCAGTAGCCCACAGTACCAAGTTTTGGGTTTTCTTGGAAAGTAGCAGCGAGTGCACCCTAGCTTTTTGGCGCAGTATACAGAGATTAGATACGCAGTTCCTTAAGCCATAAAGCAACCACTGTCCTGGCGAACGTTTGGGAAGAACTTCCCGAAGCACGTACCCTAAATCCTGACAGGAAATCCTGAACTCTAAGCTCACACCGTACACCTGCAGAACAAACCCTGGTTCTAGAAGCCCCGACCCTACCGAGAGACTCCAATGTCATTTCATTGGCTATCATGTTTGTTGATGTTGAAGTCCTGGTCGTACAGATGGCAAGCTAAAGCGGGAACTACATCAGAGAATGTCTAGGTCAAAAGGTCTCGTGGCATTCTTCTAGTTTGTTGAGATTTGTGGCTGAAGCTGTTCTACTCCGCCTGACTTCTAGTAGGCTCTTCTATGCACTGTCAGTGGCTCCCATTACCTCTTGATTACGGGTCATGCTGTAATCGTAACCTATGCGTGCATTTTTAAAAAATCAGCCTTCCTTGTCTCAGATAAGGAACCTTCCTCTAAATGTGCCACAGCCTTCCCTATTGCATAAATATCAACCCCAACATCAACATCATCGGTTAGAGGTGGTACCAGACGATAGAAGATAGAAGCTGGAACGGCGCGGCCGCCCTGTGGCAACTAAACCCGAAGACCGTGCACTGTGTGGCTTTTGCACCGAAGAGCCCTGATATTCGGATCCGTCGACCCTTCTTTGGAATGGTTTGTTCAGAGCCGGATGGCGGAAGAGCTCGGTGGCCTGAGATTTGCCAGGCTGTACAGGCAGAAAGGACAACTGCATTTCGTCGGCCTCGACATCAAAAGCATGGTCTTGGCGTTTGGGCTGTAGATTTTTGGGGTTTGAGGTGCTTGGGAGTAATTTGTTGCTGCCTGGACCATTGTGTTCGAGTCTTCGGTTCTTCTTGTTTAGAGGCTGGAGTACGTGTTCCAAGTTTTCAAGCTTTGGCTATTGTATATATATATATATACACATAAACATATATATATATATGTGTGTGTGCATGTCTATATACATAGTTAATTAGTAAGAATTGATTAAGTAGCTTGTTCAATATTAAGTAGTTAAATACTTATTTGATTAACTCATTATTCTTTGATCAGTCAGTTATAAGTTTTAAGTATGTTATCAGCCGTTAACATCACCCTGCCAGCATCTGCTTTGGTCTGGGTCGCAAAGAACTGCTGTGAGTGGATTTAAGGAAAAGGCCAAGTGCGCTTTTAGTGTCATTGGGGTTGTCATGTGCTTGTCGGAGTTCACGGATCGACACCATCCCTCTGCGTGAGGGTGTGCAGAGGTTCGATTTCTTGCGGTATTCATTCAAGCGAGACCC